AAAAAAAAAAAAAAGACCATATTGATGAAGAATAATTCCTTACCACGTTCCGGCTGCTTTTAACTCACCTTCAGGAAGCTAGCCAAACTATAATTGACATTTCGGGACTCATCGGGAATCTCGGCATAGCGAATAGTCACGTGGGGAATTATTGCGAGAAGCAACGAATGTAAGACATGATGATATGTCTCTGGAAATCTCTGGCCTCTGGGAAGCTTAAATTAAATAGGCATAGCAAAAAGTCAGAGTCGCAAAAGGTCTAAATCGATTGCCATTCTTATTTTCAAACACTTTCTAGACATAAATGTGTTCAACTGGAGTAGAACTTTTCTCCCAACTTAAAAATGACATTGCTAGTTCAATGTACACTTCAGATTATCATAGGAACTATCTGGACCTCGAATAACATAACTGACTGAAATCATCAACAAGCCAACTTTGGAATCATGTTCCTGAGATGCAGACACACCCCAGGCTTTCATTCCATTTTTTTTTTTTCCTGACACACAAAGAATTCATGTATCCATGCATCGCTATTTCAATAAACCTACTCTGAAAAGTCTGATAAAAATGGTAAATACAAGGTGACTGTCTTCCACTTCACAAATCTGAACTCTAGAATTCCTATAACCAAGAAAATGTTTCAACACAGACATGTTTAAGCTACAAGATAAGGGGAAAGCTTCAAAGAAAATGCATTTTACATGGCAAATAACTAATAGGAAAGAAGGTATGTGCAAGAGTCTCCGAGGACTTTGAAAATGCATAAACTGTCAGACCTCAGATTTATGCAATACATTTAACGCTTTTTTTTTAAGGCAAAATTGAAAAAGCGAAGGGCTAAGGGCCCTTGAGTATAAGAGGATTTGCATGTCACTGCTACCTGTGAGTAAGATTAGCCTTCTTTGCCTATGTTAAATATTATTCTTGAGCCTACTTACCTTAATTTTATTCTCTTCCAACAAGTATGTGGCCATAGACTTTGCAATAATTTCAAAAAAAACCCATGAGTACTAAAATAAACAAACAAATAAATAAAATCAATTTTTAATAGTTATCCAAATCCTGAAGCTTAGCAAAGCTGGACAAATCAATATGGATCTTATCTCTGAACTTTAACAACATTTTAAAAGTGACTGCAATTCACTATCGAAGTTCCACAAAATACCTTTAAATTGCATTGCCAAAAAGGTAATATTGTACCTCAGGGCCGGCTGCTAAGGTACAAGGAGCCTGTGGTGGGAATGCTCCCTTCTGTGGGGAGGTGCATTTTATCACTGACATTGTTTTGATTTGCTTACATATGGTGCTGACGGCAAACCAACTTTTATTTTATGGTTGCTTTTCAATTCTCTACAGACAATGAATCTTACTAGTGTCTGCACCCAGTGAGGGACCCAACCTTGCCCTTGGTACATCACTGGGGCCAGCCCAAGGAGCACAGGTGTTTGCCTAAGTCTATTTGAAAGGTAGAGAGAAGCCTCCAGCAGATATATCCTCAGGTGTCTGAAACTGAAATTCTACCATTACCAGAAATAGTAAAAATCATGACAAAAATAAGAGCCACCACTTGAACGCCTATGTGCCAGAAACGACGTGTTAAATGTTTTAGTTATATTTTAGAAGTGAGGAATTGGATGCCCAGAGCCGGTCGATAACAGGCTCCAGATCACAGAACTACTAGGTGGCGGATTCTCACCCAGGTCTTTCCTTTACACAATTCTTTCTATTACACATTTAACTGAGAACGGGGGGGGGGGGGTTGGAAGGGTGAAGAGAATGAAGAAGGTTCTGTGAAAAGCGTGAGGGAAAAGGATACATGAGCAGAGTGGTAAAGAAAGGGGGCAAATGACGAAAAGACCAGAACCCAAGTGGGAGGGTATCAAGTGAGGACATCTCCGGCTGCTTTTGTTACCCTGTTGTGTCCCGTTTCCTTACCTTTAGCAGTTTGTTTATTGCTAAAAAGTCGGCAGACTGTTTCAATATGGCAATCATTGTGGTAGCCAGGGTTTCATGTATCAGCTGGGCCTGAGGGGCGCTCGGTTTTTCAGGTCGGAAGCTATACTACAAACGAAGGAAAAGGAACCGTCAGTCAAAATTCTCAAGGAAAAGAAACTGCTCCCAAAGAAAGCTTCCTCCACAAACCTTGATGAAGGATCTTAAATAATTATCCAAGCCTTCTTCATGGCACTTCGAAACGATATGTAAGAGAACCCTGAAAACACATTCGCAAAGGGCAGCATGTCAGGCTATGGTGAATTTCCACAGTTGCACTGTCTAGCCCTAAAAATACCCCCACACTACCTGAAGTGTTAAAAGTGAGAGGATTGCAGAACATATAATAAGATTGTCTAACAAGATTTCCGCATCTAACATGCTCAGGGCCTTGCAAAAACACTTCCCAGTTCAAAAGAAGGCTATTACGTTTTGGCAGCCCAGCTCTAAATCTCTGTGCACGTTTCAAGTAGGGTCACGGCTACTACGGGGCAAAAGACCTCCAGTGGGGTCAATATTGAAATCCCCTCCAGTGAGTAAAAGGAAAGGAAAGAGAAAGATAAAGAAAAAATGAAAAGCACATCTACAGATGGGGGAAAAGGAAGAGAGAGACAGGACGGGTATAACGGCGTGACCTGCGATTGGCAGTAAATCTAAAATTCATATACGAGACTGGCAGTGGTTCTCAAACATGATCATGCATCGGAATCACCCGGAGGGCAGAAGGCTGGGCCGCTCTCCCAGAGGTTCTGATTTTTGAGGTCTGGGGTGAAGTTCAATGACCAGCATGTTTCATCAGCTCCCAGGTGATACTGATGCTGCTGGGGTAGGAGCCGTATTTGAGAACCACGGGACTACAGGGATGCTTTGTAAATTTTTGAGCAGACTGTCCCCAACAGCAGAGTAGAACAAACAGGTGCGCAGGGGTGTCGCTTAAGGCCCAGCCGGAGAGGGCGTGGCAACAGTAGAAGCAGCAAAGCCAGAAACATCCAGCACTGAGCTCTCAATGCTTTTAAGTATCCTATTTTAATTGCAAAATTCAGTGCATTTTGCCTTCTACTCTACCATATATCCTTGTTTGTTTCTATAAAAGTAATAGTCCCTCACTGTTTTTGAGTAAAAATTCATGGCTTAGGGTGACTCTGTCCAACGTGAGAGCCACTAGGCACCTGTGGCTATTTAATGAAAATCGACAACAGTGAAAAGTTCAGTTCCCCAGCTGCACTAGCCCTATTTCAAGTGCTCAAAAGCTAAATGTGGCTAATGGCCACCATATTGGGCAGCACAAGTGTAGAACAATTCCACGATTGGAGAAAGTTCTATCGGACAACACTGGTCTAGGGCAATGGTTCTCAAACTCTGTTGCATTATGGAATCACCTGGATAGCTTAAAAAAAAAAAAAAAATACTGATGCTGAAGTTCCACCCCTAGATATTCTGGTTTCGTTGGTATGAATGTGGTCTGGGCACAGACCTCTTTAAAAGCTCCCCAGGTGATTCTAACATGCAGTCAGGTTTTAGAACCCCTGGTGGAGGAAAACACATTAAGTTTCTCCTATGGTTTCTGGTACCATCTATCCCTGGCAATACATGACCCCAGTCTGAAAAGCATGAAACAAGAGAAAATGGATATTAGATATCTGACTTGTGGGTTCTCGTCTGGAAGATAAATTTATAGTGAAAATGAAGAAACACAAAAAGAAACAAAAGTTGTGTCTTTGTATTTTAACACCGAAACTCACATGGTGCAGTTGATAGGAACGTCATCTTCGTGGGTCATATTTGTGAGAACCCGGAAGAGTTGCATAAGAATTACAGGTAGAAACTGTATCATGACTTGGATCTCCATGGCATGCAAACACTAAAATAAGTCATTATTAGTTATGAAAACAAACAGAAATATGATATAACTTGCAAATGTGAAACAACAAAAAAATTAAGTAATGAGAAATACATTCACTTGAATATAAGCCCACTTCGATGTGAGCTTCGTAAGACAGGGGACTTTGTTTTGTTGATTCCTTTATCCACATCTCTATTTTGGCACTCAGATTTTGTTTGTGTATTTCACATTAAACACTTTATCTACCGAAGATAAAAAGTGTAACTGGGATAAAGGGGTTTTGGAATAAAGACAACTGATTGCTGGTAAACCAGCACTCCACTGGAGTGGGAGAGCAGATGTGTGTGAAGGTTCTGGAGACTGGCCTGCTGGAGTGTGTTCTACAGAACGTGGCCCATCCGTTAATCTGCTGAGAAGGTAAATGGGATGCAGTAAAGAGCACTCCTCTGTGTAACTGGCTTCACACTGGCACCAAAATTGGGGCATCACTGCATTCAAACATCCCTACAGTACCTTTCTTCCAAGTGCTAACACCCTGTCTCTAGCCATAGATACGTCAACAGCACAAAGTAGAAATGTGTTCGTATGTCTGTAGAAATGAGACGAGCAGCAACATCTGTAAAATGTCTTTCTTCTTCCTTCCCTTCTCCCCACCTCCCCTCCTTCACTCAGGCATTCACTCAATCATTTCATCAACCAGCCAACCAAAAGGTGAAAACAAGTCTCACAGGGCACCTTGTACACCGGTTCACGGTTCATTGTGATGGGAAATGCAGAGACGGAGGAGACAAGTCTCTGGACCTAAGGAACTCAGTAGTTCTCTTTTGCTCTGTCTCTCCATCCTTAGCCTCATCATCCCTTTTAGGACACTATCATCTATATGCGAAGCATCTCAGCCGTGACCTCTTAGTTCTGGGCAGAGTCTCTTCAGTCAGATGCATAAGGCAAGAGATCGAGCTCAAGGAACCCATGTCTATCCTTCGAGTTTTTCCTTCCTTTTGCTCCCTTTCTTCTTGCCTTACTGCCATCACCCCTCTTAACCTATAACCAAAATAGTCTAATCATTTCATAGTTGGTCTCTGTGCAGGTCGTCTTAATTCTCCACATCCACGTCTCATTTCCAAATTCATCTCCCTCCGATTTGGTTCCATCAGACCACCTCCTGCCAAAATGCCTGTGGCTCTCAACCACGGGCCACTTTGTCCCCCACGGGACATCCCCCAATGTCTGGAGACACTGGGGGTTGTCACAACTGGGGGTGCTCCTGGCACCTAGTGGATAGAGGTCAGGGATGCTGCTAAACGTCCTACCATGCACTGGACAGCCACTTACCACAGAGAAACTGACCTGTCCAAAATGTCAACAATGCCAAGCTTGAGAAACTCGGGCCTACGGTCCAAGATTACTTAAGACCCAACCTAGATTTCCAGCTGTAACACTCTTCATTCTTCATAAGGCCAAACAGGTGCCTTGACTGCATTCCCACCTTTGTGTATTTGTTCGGTTTTTAGCCGCATCCTAGCCATCCTTCCAAGTCAAGTTGAAACCCCTACTCATTCGACAAAGGCATACTGAATGACCCTCCAAGGGCCAAGCACATCAGAAACACCTGGTTCCTCCCATCAAGCCATTCAGAGTCTATGGGGAGAAAGACCTGGGACTAAATCTACAACACAAATGGTCAACAGTACAACAGTGGTATGTACAAGATGCACGAAGGAAGAAGCAACGGAGTCCTCACGTGGGCAGAGGATGTCCAATAAGGCTTCAGAGAGGAGGCAGGTGAAAGGCAAAGTGGGATAATAGCAGGTAGAAAAGAGAGATGGGCATTCAAGGCAAAACTGATCCAGTATCGCTCCTCGGTAATTTACTCTCAGCGCAACAGCTAGAGTGTTCTTCCTACCCCTTGTTACCGACCAAACAAACCACCATGAACCAAAGGCTGTCAAGGGCTTCCCGTGCCTACATGTACCCCACCTCCCTCTCCAAGCTCATCTCATGCCACCTCCCCCCCACCCCGCAGCTGCTCACTGCGTTTCTTCTTTTCCGTCCTTCTAACACCGTCGCAAGGTGTTTACGCCTGCTGCAATCATCTGTCCTCCTTTGCCACAGCTTTAGCCCCTACGCTCATTTTCCTCTCATCAATTTCTTTTCGGCTTGATGCATCATCTGCTCAGATAGCCTTCCCTGACAACTCCATCTAGAACGCACTCCTGTCATGTCGGATCCCATTCATCTGTTCTATTTTCTCCGCAACATTCATCTTGATCTCAAATTACTCATTTATACCCTCTCTACCCCAGCGAGAGCAGGGATGTAGTCTGAATTGCTTCCCCGTCATATTCCTAGTGCCCACCGCACTATCTGGTCCATACGAGGTGCCCAGTAAGTATTTGGCGAATGACTGTATCAACGAATAAAATAAGGAACCGAAGCATTAAGATAAAGATGGGAGGCTTCTAGTCTCAGGGGTTCCTCGGTTCCCTGGACCCTTAGCACTATAACCTGGATCGTGCATTTGCTATCTATCACATATTGGTACTGCTCACTTACATTGTCATTCTACTCGTATGTGTCCTGTCTCTCTGACTGGTTTTAAGATCCTCATGGGCAATGACCCTAAGTTATTCTTCTCTGCAAGCCTCGCAGCATCTGGGAAAATACTACATACATAATAAAAGCCCAACAAGCAGGTGGCAAGTGAATTGGTGAAACAATGTCATTTATGGGGTCAACAAATAACACGGTTTGGTAGAAAGAACATGGGACCAGGAGTCAAGAGACACACGCCACAGGCTCGGCTCAGCTCAGCTCTGCTCCTTACCAGGTGAGCGACCACAGGCAAGTCCCCTCTACTTGGGCTTCAGTCTCCTTATCCGTAAAATAAAAACTCTCAAGACTCCCTTTCAGGGCTAACAGTCCCTACAGGAACTGGGCTGTTTCTGTAATCGTACAGCATTTCACTCGCTGCCACTAGAGGGCGAGCAAAGGTCACATAAATATCAGAAATTTCCACACCCTCACTTCCACACAAAAAGGAGTACTTTTTTTTTCTCCATTTTAAGACTACCAGTATATTTGAAAATGAAGCTCTGCTCTATTCCATTCTGTTAAAACTTTTACAAAGCTTCCCCACTGGAAGAAAAGCCAAAGAATTTAACAGGCTCAGCATACACACATAAACCTGGCATTCTAGACATTACCCAAGGAAAGGATTTGAGAGGTAGAGGACTGTTAGACTTCTTAATAATAATTAAGAATAACAGTCACCATTTATCACCTATCCCCCTACTTTTATCCTTCCAACAGTATATGCTCAATATGGTAGGCGGAATGAGGCTTTATTATTATTTTTTAAAGATTTTACTTATTTATTTGACAGAGAGAGACACAGTGAGAGAGGGAACACAAGCAGGGGGAGTGGGAGAGGGAGAAGCAGGTTCCCCAGTTTAGCAGGGATCCCGATGCGGGGCTCGATCCCAGGACCCTGAGATCATGACCCGACCTGAAGGCAGACACTTAACTACTGAGCCACCCAGGCACCCTAGAATGAGGCTTTAAAAACCCAAAGCCCATCATGTGGCTCCTCTGTTCAGCACCCTGCAAGGCTTCCCAGCTCATTGAAGGTATAATTCAAACTCCTCATCATGGCGTATGAGGCCTTCCCCAACTAGCTCCTTGGGGTCTTTGCACCTGCTGCTCCCAGCTCGCTCAGAAGTCCACCTAGCTGGCGCCCTCATTTCCCTTAGGTCTCTGGCAAGTGTCACTTTACCAGAGATCTTCTCTGACACTTTATCTAGAAGAGGGACCCCTTAGAATCTTTATTCCTCTTCAATATGTTAGGGGTTCCTTTGTGGCACTTATCACCACCTGAATGAATATATATATTCATTTCTTTGTTTATTGTTCATCTGCCTCCACAAGAAAGTAAGCCCCTCGACAATGAGGATGTTGTCTGTTTTCTCCATTTATATTCCAAACACTTAGAATGATGCCTGGCCCATAGAAAGCCTCAAGAATTCAGTGTAGACTCAAGGATTACTATACTCTATAGTAGATGCCCTATCTCACTTAAGCTTCAAAACCACCCTAACAAGGTGGCGTTGCTGGTTATCCCTATGTGACAGATGAAGAAACAAAGGCTTGGAGTAGTTCAGGAACTTGGCCAAGGTCAATCCCAGGGCTAATAAGGGACAGGTCTGGGACACACACTGGGTGAATGATTCCAGAACCCATCCGTATTATCTCATCTCCTACTACCTCTCTGGAAGAAATGCACGTTTTTATTTCCTGAGAATGGCATTAAGTAGTAACATGTGTCCAAAGGGAAATCTTGTAGAGATTTCACTTAAAATAAAAATTCCTGGGGCGCCTGGGTGGCTCAGTCATTAAGCGTCTGCTTTCGGCTCAGGTCATGGTCCCAGGGTCCTGGGATCAAGCCCTGCCCTGTATTGGGTTCCCTGCTCCGTGGGGAGTCTGCTTCTCCTTCTCCCACTCCCCCTGCTTGTGTTCCCTCTCTCGCTGTGTCTTTCTCTGTCAAATAAATAAAATCTTTAAAATAAAATAAAATAATTCCTGGGACGCCTGGGTGGCTCAGTCGGTGAAGCGTCTGCCTTCGGCTCAGGTTGTGATCTCAGGGTCCTGGGATTGAGCCCCGCATCGGGCTCCCTGCTCAGCAGTGAGTCTGCTTCTCCCTCTGTCTACCACTCCCCCTGCTTCTGCTCTGTATCTCTCTCTCTGAGAAATAAATAAAATCTTTAAAAGAGTCTCATAAAAAATAAATAAAATAAAATAAAATAAAAATTCTTCAGGCTTGCCATGGCTGACCTACCGAAGGAGCAACCAAAAGCAGAGTCGCTGTCAGCTAGGTCCCGTGATGTGCAATTTGGTCCTACCATGTTAGGCAATAAATGGGAGTCTTGGGTTCTCAATACATTGGACGAAATGTGGTGTTTCTTAAGACTCTTCCATGCAACATGCAGAACCGAGGTTTTTCTGTCTTTAGTTGACCCCTTTGATAATCTTTCACCCATAGACCCAGGAATCGTCATTTTATTCCAAGCAAAAGGGACTCCATTTCTCCTGACCCTTTTCCCCCCAGCACCTTTCCTGGGCAGTAAGCAGGAAGAGAAAAGACCTGAAAAAGTCAATTTATGGAACTGAAATAAACATTTTCATGAGATTTTCAGAAATATGTCGACAGATTCTAGCTACAACATTTTCTTCCTAATGTAGCAACTCTGCGGTCTGCTCCTAAATAGGCACTTGACAGAAAAGCACATAAAAGAAAATATTCTCTTGAGGGTACACAGCCCAAAGTATTTTAAGGAGTTAGTTTGATCCCCGCCCCCAATCAAAAGGTGGCAACAAGAAAGACACTAAAACCAACCCTTTTTGCAGAAAGCTGCTGTTCATTTACCTTTAAATATTTAATGAGCTCCCCCGGAACCTCTTTCGAGCCTGACTGAATCAGCTGGCAATGATGGAAGAATTTGTGCACATGGAGATCCTGAAAAACAGATGGACACGGCCATATGAAATGTGATTCCTCACCCTCAGACGCAGGCTCTCTAGCGCTCCCTCTGCCCTCATCTTGCAAACCTACCCACCAGGGTCTCCAAGCGCCCAGACCCGGCTGCTGCGGCTACCAACATCTGTGTCCGCGTCCCTTAGTCCCCTGGACCATCACACAAAGCAGCAAAACCAGGCAAAGTGAGCATGTGCCTAAGCATACCGGGCAAGCCACAGTTTTTGCGTGGCTAGTCAAACCTTCGTTTAATTCCTTTTTTGACGGGTGTAGCCTCTGAAGTTGGGCTGCTTCTACATTTTTAATGAAATGAGTAGGAATAGAGGTCTGGACTGACAGACGAAGGAAAGGGAGCAGCAGGGAGCTACCAGACAAGTCTCAGGCATTCAATGTTCAACTTACCATGGCACTTGGCTGGCGAGTGTCCAGCTGGCCTATATGGAATCTATATATCATATGCAGGCTCTGTGGACAGTGCGTACCATATCGGGAACTGGGATAATAAGATTTGGATTTTGACCTGGTTCTTCTAATTAGTATCTGTGTGACCTTGGGTCAGTCATCTAACCCGACCAAGTTTCGGTTTCTCCATCCATGGAATGGTGAAGTAGGCAGGGGGGCCACACCAAGGAACGTGGACTGTCTCTTGTCCATCGGTGATTTTTTGAATGGTCGCTTGAGCCTTCCAACAGACATCTGACTCTAACTGCATGGCTGATAAGGCTTAGAGTAAACTGTACTAGTCATCCATGATCCACTGACTTCAAATTTCTGGGTTTGACTCCGGTCTAACGGTGAGAAAAACATCAGACAAATTCCAACAGAAGGGCAGCCTACCCAATATCACTACTCATGAAGATGGACAAGGTCATCAAAAACAATGAATGTCTGAGAACTTGTCACAGCCAAGAGGAGCCTAAGAAGATGGAACAACTACATGTAATATGCTATCCTGGATAGAATCGTGGAACAGAAAAATGTCATTAATAGGTAAAAACTAAGGAAATCTGAGTAAATACAAACCTTAGTCATTGATTATGTATCACTACTGGTTCATTAATTATAACAAACGTGTCATACTAATGAATGTAAGTGGCTAATAACAGGGAAACTAGGTGGGGCGCCTCAGTGGATCAGTTCGTTGAGCGTCTGCCTTCGGCTCAGGTCACGATCTCAGGGTCCTGGGATCGAGCCCTGGGTCGGGCTCCCCGCTCAGTGGGGAGCCTGCTTCTCCCTCTGCCCTCTGTCCCTCCCCCGGCTTGTGCTCTCTCTCTCTAAAATAAATAAATAAAATCTTTTTTAAAAATAACAGGGAAACAAGGTACAGGGTATATGGGAATTCTCTGTATTGTCCTATTTTTCTGTAAATCCCAAACTGTTCCAAAAACTAAAATTTATTTTTTTAAAGAGGTGATAAGGGCCTCCACAATCCTTTCAGACTTTTGTGAGGCTTGAATCCATTAATGGGAACAAAGGGATTCGGGGATTTGAAAGGGATTATAAAATCTGAGTTACTACTATTAAGAATGATGTTATTACTAATGAGAAAGCCTTTGAGGCCACAATCTCTCTAAAGCCGCAGGAATCAAATATAGTCTATTCTAAACAAGAAATAGAATCGGGGGCACCCGGCTGGCGCAGTTGGAAGAGCATGCGACGCTTGACCTCGGGGTCGTGAGTTCAAGCCCCATGCTGGGTGTAGAGATTACTCAAAAATAAACAAACTTAAAGATTCAAATATCAAAATTGACAAAATTCACATGATGCAACTTACTTGAGTATAAATCGTAGACTCTAAGTGGCTTTTAATCTTCAACAAAGGCTTTGCACCGTCTACCCACTTAATATCCACATTAGATTGCTGTGGACGGAAAATAGATAGGAGTTTCTATAACATACCTATGAATAGACGAGCGACACATGACACCTTTACACATTTCAACTTTTTCCCTTTTTTTTTTTTTAACCCCAGAAACAAATGTGTTTGTGTCACACATAGGGAACTATTGGAGACAATAACCTGCCTTGAGAATAAACGGCTCCTAGATCATTTTCAATTTCCAGTGCTTTGCCGGCTGAGCTTTCATAAAGTACAATAAAAATGAATTACTAAATAAATGCATTTTTAACAACGATGCACAAAATCCAAGCCTCAGCTTGTAAAACTGTTATTAGAATAACAGACACGAGGGGTGCCTGGCTGGCTCAGTCAGAAGAGCATGCGGACTCTTGGTCTCAGGGTCGTGAGTTCGAGCCCCACGTTGGGTGGAGGGATTACTTAAAAATAAAATCTTTAAAAAAAAAAAAAGAATCAACAGACATGAGGTAACTTGGTCAAACTGCTCTCAAAAGTTTTCCAGCGCTCACTTTCCATACTTAGCTTTCTTGTGGACCGGTCCTCAGACCGGACTTTGTGAAGCTATCCACCAGAAGAGCGAATTCTACTTTTTAAACGTTTCATCGTGATCCCTTCAACAAATGCAGTGATTTTCCTACCCTTCTTGATTCTGCATCATTCAGATTCAAGTAGCCCGGAGGAAGATTGGCGGAAACTGGCAGCTGCTGCTCAAATGTAATGATTCTACCATCCTTCAGCAAAGGTACCCAGGCAAAGCCAACTGCCAAGACAATAATCAACCGTGAGAGATGAAACTGCAAGTGCAATTAGCTACACAGATCTCTGAATGCTGGGGAACAGGGCGGGGTGGCAACGTTTCCAGGGGTCTGTACGGGGGAGTCCACGCGGTGGGCATCTGAATCCTGGGGAAGGAACAATGCATTTGGATGGCTTCCTAATCACAGCCTGGCCACTAATGAGTTCTCTACTCAACTTCCTGGACTATAAATTGGGAACGACACATAGTCTTTCCGCCTACTAGTTACTGAGAGACCAAAGAGAGATAATACAGGAGAATACTTAAAAAAATTTTAAAGTGCATCAGTACCATTATCTTTACCCTCTGGGGGATGAATTGTGGTAGACTTATTTTTTAAAAGAGTCCGAGCTCCCTCATCCATCCCTAGTGAGAGCACAGAGTCTCGGGTCTGGGACAATCTCAGCCAGCAATCAGCATGTTGCAGATTTTCTTTCAGCAACCCGACGGTGAGGGACTATGGAAAATTAAGGTCACAAGTCCAGGTCACAGCCCATATTCATACAAGGCAGTGTTCAGCTGGGCAGGTTTTCCTGATTACAGAAGGACGAGGTGTAGTAGCAGAATGCAGACGGGCCATAGTGTTTACGACTCGAATCCACTGAGAGATGTCCCCCCGTCTCTGTATTTCCTAAAAGTTCTGCTCAAAAGAGCCTCTTGGATTTCTATTAGAAAACTCATCATGTTCCAGCTAAAAAAGCCTGAGCCATCTGTATTCCTCAGGTTGAGTAGTGTCATTATTTCCATTATAGAGCTTACTCTGGGCTTCAAGTGTTTATATCTCAGCTGTAAAAAAAGCTTGCTCGGGACCAAGGTTTGGCACATGAGCGAGGATGTTGGCTGGAGAGCCCTTTTTGAAAGCCACTGCCTTCTGATTCTTTAAAATTCTTTGCGTGAGTGTGTATGTTTATACTGCGAACACAGAAGTCAACACAAATCTGGTTAGAATGTTTTCATTCACGTGTTTAATTTGGCAAATGCTTTAATTCTTCAAAGAAGACAAATATGTTGCTTTCTCTAAGGAGACTAAATGGCTTTCTCAGACTCCGAAACACGTCTGAAGGGCATCTTTACTAGCACAGCTTCAGAAATGGTTTACCCAGAGCTCTTCTCTTATAAAGAGCAGAGGAAAGTAACGTGAGCACGGGAACCATTCGAAAGGACTCTGTCAGAGTAGTTGACTGAAAAAGCAGACACATGACCAAAGGTTTCCAGTCCAGAAAAATAGGAAAATCTATTTCTTGTTCTTGGTTGAAATTTTTCCCCACAGACATTTTTATTGAGATAGAATTCAGATACCATACAGTTTGTCTATTTAAAAGTGCACCCTTCAACAGTTTTTAGCGTATTCACAAAGCTGGGCATCCACTGCTACGATCTAATTCCAGAACTCTTCCATCACGCCACAAAAGAACCTCCACACCCCTTAGAAGTCACTCCCTATTTCTCCTTTCCCCCAGTCCCTGGCAACTGCTAGTCTACTTTCTGTCTCTATGGAATTGCTTAGGCAACATTTTTGCACTATGAATTAATCAGAGCGTGGCCAAGGGTGTCTCTCAGTCAAAACTCATACAGAGCACTTGGAAGCTGAGAAGGTACAGTGTCGAGCACACGCCATCTGGCTCAGGGATGTGAAGCCACTTAAGGATGGACAGCTCAAAGCGATGAGTGGCCCACGGAATAACCATCTTGTGCTCCACCGAGCCCTTTGCCCCCTTCAGTCTAGGATTTAAATAAGGAAAGAGTAATGTGTCCTTTAGGACGTGCACGGTCTTGAGTTCCTATTGTTCTGCCAGATTTCTTCTCAACCCTCGCGGTCCCTTGCCCTGAACAAACTGCAATTCCTGTGGAGACAGAGAACAGGACCACACGATCCATAAGGGCAACTTTCTACTACTTCAGTCTGGCTGCCTGGAGGGCTTCACTCAGATGTCTCACTGGCACCTCAAACTCAACATCAGTCCAAAACCTATGATTCCCCACTACCCCGTGATTTTGCTACTTGCAAGTTCCTTCTTTCCAGTGTTGAAGCTTCACTGCTAACTCTGAATTCTCTCTCTAGTTACCAACCATTTGTCAGACCCGATACATTCTTCTTCTGCAGTCCCTTTCTCTCCATCCCCCGGCTACTGCCGTAGGGTGGCCCCCTTTCCCCCTGGACCTCTGAAGTAACCCCTAACTGGCGTTTCTTCCTTCTTTCTCACTCCAACGCCCTCCGCCATCACATCGCTGCCTGCGGAAGAGCTCTTACCGGTGTTTACAGCCCTTCGATAGTTCCATGCTGGTGACAGAATACAGTCAAATCCACAGCCTGGCATTCAAGGCTTTCCATGATCTGGTGCCTCCTTTTCAACCTGACGTCCTGTTGATTCCCCTCCCAACACCTGGTGCCCTGGTCCTACTGAACTTACGCGTGGTTCCCTGTCCATATCCCTCAACACTCGGCCTCTGGACAAGCTCTTCCGTTATCCTGGAATCTACCTTCCTGCCATCACTGCATTGTCAAACTCTACTTCGCCCGTTTAAGGCCTCACCCCAAACCCCATCTCCTCCTGGGAGCCTTCCCAGATTCCCAGCCACTTGTCCCTCCAACCAGTCGAAGTAATAACTCACTCTTCCCGGAGATTACACAGCACCGCTTTCTTGGTAGCTTACTACTTTCTATCTTGTCTGATGGTTGTCTTATAGATCTCATTTCCCCTGCTAGACCATAGGCTCACTGAAGATGAGATCTATGTTTGAGTCTCCACTGTATTCTCCTTAGTACTTATCATAATGTCTCGCACATAATAAATATGCAGACCTATTTGGTGAATGAATGAATGAATGCAGGAATGAATGAATGAATTTCAGACTGATCCAGGCTAGCTTGGATCTGAATCCCAGGGCCTCCTGACATTTATCTAGTGGCGGTGACACACACAATGTTTATAGGGCTTCTGTGTTCTCCTACAGGATGCTTCCCACTGGTTTATCTAAAGCTTTGCTGGATGGGACCAGGACTGGCCCTTCACTACTAGCGTTTATTCCGATTCATTAAATCTGTTCTGTTCTCACTAGAACCAGGTGGGTCCCCAATCTCCCTCAGGCTCAAATATACCCCTGGGCTCTGGGCTTACTTCCTACTTCCTTAGCGAGACAGACTGGAAAGTTCTGGTTGCTGGGCCATTCTACTTAAAAGAAATGATGGTCGGGGCGCCTGGGTGGCTCAGTCATTAAGAGTCTGCCTTCGGCTCAGGTCTTGATCCCAGGGTCCTGGGATTGGGCCCCACATCAGGCTCCCTGCTCAGCGGGAAGCCTGCTTCTCCTTCTCCCACTCCCCCTGCTTGTGTTCCCTCTCTCACTGTCTCTCTCTCTCTTGTCAAATAAATAAATAAAATCTTTAAAAAAAAAAAAGAAATGATGGTCAAATGAACCTATAATTCATCTTTCACCAGTGAACTTTTTAATTCGGAAATGTACATTTTGGTGAGGGGAAGAAGTGGTTTGCAGCTTGAGGAAAAGAGGTTACATTCTAGACAATTCCATCTCAAATAGCTGTAGAAAGAGACTTTGAAAGAGTACACGTACCTGGAGTTTCAACTGTGTCTTGCTTTTTGGTTGTTCCCTTTGTATTAATTTCACAACTCACATGATAAAAAGTAAAAAGCAAATGATGTTTTTGATGCAGGTGAATGGGAAGCTCGATTTTAATCTGAAATGACAGCAAAATCACACATCGCATTTTGTTTTGTTTTCATTGTCAAGCTGGACAGTCAGACCTTTAGTTCAATTTCATCATACTTTTCCAATGACATAGTTTTTCTCAACGACAAGCCAAGTCCTCAAGTAATAGGTATCATTTAAATATACTCTAAAGGCTTTTCCAGTCAGTTTCAATTTGACAACAATAGTCTCCTGGGTAGTGAGGGCTGATTTATGACTTGTGCTGGAGAGTCCAGTGGATTCTCCTGGATGCAACTTTGCAGCAGGATTTTCTAAAACACTGGATCAAAACCACAGCCTCACAGCCCAGAGATACTATATAACTCAATCTGAGTCAGTGAATGCAATCCATCTAAAATGTGTACTGAGTTTGAAAGGTTTCTTTTTTCTAAACTGTTGCTTTCCTTTGCATGGAAAAAAAAAAATTAAGCTTTGCAAATAAATGTGCAAAAAGTCACTATGGTATTATGGTATCCACCAATTACAGTTCATATAAATATCTTTTGAAGGAAAACACAAGATTACTCTTGAATAAAGAAATAAAAATCGTCACCCTTGGCACATGAATTTAATCCTAGAAATTAACACTTCAATACAAGCATCTCAAGTGATTTTCCAATCAGGACCCAACCAAATGTCTTTACTGCCTCCTGGAAGTATATAAGAGACACATCACAGATTTAATTGATTGGACGCGTGTGCATACACCTGCACAAAAGCACATGCAATCTCTCTCAATCTCTCGCTGTCTTGGTCAATAGAGACTGAAACGACTGAAAAGCCTGTTTCTTTCGGGCGCCCTAAGAATAATGCGGATTACTTGCTAAACGATCGAGTTTTCTGGAGTGACTGGTGTCGATGAGAGAGGGGGACATATTAAAACAGCTTGGTGCTGGACATCTGGCCTCATCATCATTCACGCAAGGCAGGGTTTTGGTGTTAGAACTAATTTCTGTTGTAGGTATATTTCACCACAGAACACGCCTATTCATAGCAGCCAGACCATCTGGGTATCTAATGCTCTGCTGCACATAAATATGGGCACACTCTCTCTCTGGGGGGCAAAACTGCAAGGCACCGCTATGCTCCTCCCCATCCCCCACACCACCAAGAGCATTGGATGGAGAAAGGGAGGAGGCCTCAAGCTGGGGTGCAAAGCCTCCTGAAGACAGCAGGTGGACCTGGGGAAAAATCGTGACAGCAGGGGGGAATGGTGACAGACAAAGAGCCCTGAGAAGCAGAAAGAGCAAAGCTTGCGGCCTGGGATGCATATCCAGGTTCCTGGAGACACGGAGGAATCAAAAGCAGTCTGCAGATTTGGCTAAGCCAGGGACACGCCAACTGGAGGAGGCTGGGACAGAGACACTAAGAGAGACACTGGCAAGTACAGAGAGACGCAGAAAAGGAGAAGGAAAGAGAGGCAGAGGCAGGGCCCGAGAGGCAGACTGGGGTGGAGGGGAGCATGGAGCTTGCGAGACACTCCCCTTCGTCTACACTGCACTGACGCATTAGAGCACCCAGTGGGGTTCTGGCAGCCCCCACGTGCTGCTGCGTCTCTCAAAGCATTTCACTTACAGAGCGGCTGCGCCCCTAGCCCCATGCAAAACCGCAGGAAGAAAGATCTAGAAGGGCCTTCAGAACATCTCTTCTGAATTTCTTCTTTGAAGGCTGAGGAAATGGGAGACTTGGGAAAGGGGAAGTGGCTTGTTCAAGATCACAGAGCTAGTTGTCAAGGCGAGGCTAGAATCCTAGCTCTCGTCTCATGTTTGTTCCCTATGTGGTTACCTCTTGCCGGAGCCCCTTCCCTTTGTGGGCACATTCCACCGTCATCAAAGGGCATCGAGCCCTTCGCCTTGGTGTGACGCTTTCTATTTTCACGGGACAAAATGTTCAGGGATTGCAAGGGCAGAGAAAATGATGGAGATGAAGAGAAAAAGAAGAGCCACCGCCATGTTTTACGAACATCGGAAAAATGTGTTCTCACCTCATCATAGAACTCTGGATTTTGGTTGTGATGCAAGACAACAGCATAAGCATTTGTGGTAAAAACAGACCCGGCGGGTTTTCCGTAAATACACTGCAAAAGAAGGAAACGGAGTCACCCATCTCGGTGAAGGCCTTTAAATATAACGCAATGGAACCACACATGGTTGGAGGCATCTGTGAGCCCAAGGCCATGGCCAAGCCCACCAGGCTTTCACCGTGAGCTTGTAAATTCTGAATCATTTACAGTCACTCCAGCTACCACCCCAGACATCGCGGAACTTGGCTGCATGGATGCTTCTGAATTTCTGGTCATCAAAAAAAAAAAAAAAAAAAAAAAAAAGCACTCCCCAATTAGTTGACAGCAAGAAGTCAAACATGGCTAATCATTTGGAAAGGGAACATTCTGAAACCAGATTTGGAAAGCTTACTTCTCTCGTGCTATTTGCCTTTCTTTTTTTTTTTTTTAAGATTTTATTTATTTATTTGAGAGAGAGAGAATGAGAGACAGAGAGCACGAGAGGGAAGAGGGTCAGAAGGA